TTCGGCAGACGTCCGACGTCGTGCTTTTTATCACTACGGAGGTTTTTCGGCGCGTTCTACCTCTGAAGGTCGTCTCTGGGTTACACCATCGTCAAAAACGACTCGGGGCGAACAACTGGCCCGAGGGTAAAGCGTCGGGGTTTCTGGGGGCCTCGTCTTGAAAACACTGCGGCATCGTATGTCTGGGACCTCCTTCTTCTCTCTCTTTTCCTGTTCCCTCTTTCCTCTTTCCACGTAAGTCGGCGACCCGTTTGTGCGGGAAGCGGGCCCGCCAGACGTCCTCCCCCGCCGCATTCGGCTTCTCGCGCTTCCAGGCGCACGCCCAGCGGGGCAGGCCTGGGGGGGTCTCAGAATATCACTTAGCGTGTACTTGCATCCCCCGTCTGGTGGGTCTGTTGGTCTGCCATTCCGTTCTGCCATCGTTGAGCCTCCTGGGAAGCCGTTAGGAAGCCTCCGGGGCACCCCGGAGGCGTCTTGGGAGCCTTTCGACGCTCCATGAAGTTTTCTTGGAGGGAGAGGGTTCTGGGGGGGTTCTGGGAGGGTTCTGGGATCTGGGGAGGGTTCTGGGATCTGGGAGCCCTCGTGCGGGCAACTGATACCTACTAGGACCATCTTGGAGCCATCTTGGGGCCCTCTTGGAGCCATCTTAGGGCCGTCTTGGGGCCCTCCTGGGCCCTCTCGGGGCCCTGCTGGAGCTTTCTGAGGGCCCTAGAGAAGCGTCCAGGAGGGACTCCGTGAGACCCTTGTCCAACTCCGTCTGACGGAGTTGGAACTGATACTTGCTAGGACCATCTTGGAGCCATCTTGGGGCCCTCTTGGAGCCATCTTAGGGCCGTCTTGGGGCCCTCCTGGGCCCTCTCGGGGCCCTGCTGGAGCTTTCTGAGGGCCCTAGAGAAGCGTCCAGGAGGGACTCCGTGAGACCCTTGTCCAACTCCGTCTGACGGAGTTGGAACTGATACTTGCTAGGACCATCTTGGAGCCATCTTGGGGCCCTCTTGGAGCCATCTTAGGGCCGTCTTGGGGCCCTCCTGGGCCCTCTCGGGGCCCTGCTGGAGCTTTCTGAGGGCCCTAGAGAAGCGTCCAGGAGGGACTCCGTGAGACCCTTGTCCAACTCCGTCTGACGGAGTTGGAACTGATACTTGCTAGGACCATCTTGGAGCCATCTTGGGGCCCTCTTGGAGCCATCTTAGGGCCGTCTTGGGGCCCTCCTGGGCCCTCTCGGGGCCCTGCTGGAGCTTTCTGAGGGCCCTAGAGAAGCGTCCAGGAGGGACTCCGTGAGACCCTTGTCCAACTCCGTCTGACGGAGTTGGAACTGATACTTCCTAGGGCCATCTTGGGGCCCTCTTGGAGCCATCTTAGGGCCGTCTTGGGGCCCTCCTGGGCCCTCTCGGGGCCCTGCTGGAGCTTTCTGACCCTGAGGGTCTTTGGGCTTAGATTTTTGAGCCCCACGTTTTGGGCTTATCTTTTTTTGGGTGGGCTTATAATTTAAGACATCATTGTTTGCGTGTAGTTCAAAGGTAGTGTTTCCATGGATGGCATATTACTTGTGCATTTTGCAAGGTCGACAACGAAACGTCACTGCTGAAAGGACGTAGACGCGCATTTTGCAAGGTCGACAACGAATCGTCACTGTTGAAAAGGACGCATGCTTTAACATAGCGTTCAAAGTGGGGTGGTGGTGGTGTGTGTGTTGGGGGGGGGGGGGGGGGCTGCTCAGGATAGCTGTAGCCAGGAAAGAAGCATATGGAGTACTACAGAATAGAGCTTTGAAAGGGCTCAGGATACGGATTCTGGAAAATGTCCTTCGGCGTTCGGTGCCCGCAATATGCGGGCAAGCGGGGTATTACCCCCGACCAGCCAGGAGCTCCTGCGCGTTCTTTGTCTCTGGCGCGTTGCACATTAATGTGCAACGCGCCAGAGACAAAGAACGCGCCATGTCCTCATGTCCTCATGTCCAACATTACTTCACCTTGGTCAGTTTCCCACTGTCCTCGCCGTCGCCGTATTTTGGCTCGAAGCGATTGCGCCACGCGGTTTCGGTACCTCTCGGCTTTCGTTGGCGACGCACCCAGATTCATGGGCAAGAAGCCTCGAGGGAAGGCTTTCGCAGGTGGCGTCGCCGCCATTGTTGCTGCGATCCAGGACAGCGTGACGTGCGCGACGTGGTTGGACTACCCAGAGGACGCCAAGGTCATGGATGTCAAGAAGATCATCAAAACCAGGCAGTGGCTGCAGAAACTCAAGGTCCTCTACGATCCCCTCGCCTTCAAGATCACCGATTTCCAAGCGGCGCTGAAGGAGATTGCCGACAACGGAGATACGTGGGAGAAGCCGCTGAACAAGAAGCACGTGAAACAGTGGACACATGTGCACGCCAAGCGCATGATGCTGGTCTGCCAGCACTACGCCAAGGTGTTGCGCAGGCCGACGCTGCCGAGATGGGTGGAGAAAATGACACACGCCGACGGCGACGACGATCCAGCAGAGGACGGGGCCGACGCAGGCGAGGACGAAGAAGAAGAGGATCCAGCAGATGAGGAGGAGGAGGAGGCAGGTGGCGATGAGAGCTCGCAGTACTACAGCGAAGACGAGCTCGGTTTCCCAGGCAACGGCGGAAGCGAGGACGATGGCGAGAAGTCCCTTGTCGACCAGGCCGCTGGCCAGCGGGCTGGAACAGCGGTTACCCACTACGGCTTCTGCGACGAGAAGAGGGCTGCCTGGAGGGCTCTCTCTAGCGACCCGAAGGCGATTGACTACACGATGGATCTTTACATCGAGCCGCAGATGAAGGATAATGACGCCGTCAAGGCTCGCTGGGGCAAGACCGCGGTCGGCGAGGAGCTGCGTCGGGAGGTCCAGGAGGTCACAGTCAAGGAGTACGTCGAGATGATGACCGTCGAGTGGGAGAGCCACAGGGGCCCCTTGAGAGTCATGAAATTCAAGGATGACGAGACCAAGGCCATCGAGATCCACAAGACCTGGAAGCAGGCAACGTCGAGAAAGCAGGAGATGCTGATACTCTTTTTGGCGGAGAACGCAGATCAACCCCGCAAGGAGCAGAAGCGCTCGCAGCTGAGCCAGCTCATCATCGAGAACTGCATCATCGACGTCGAGTGGGGGCCTGAGCACAAGGGCGAGAAGGACATCAAGACGCCCACCAAACGCGCGATGGTAGCATCGCGACAGAATGCCTTGGCCACTTTCAAACTGATCAGTTGCAAGATCGCGGACGGCACCATCTCGCCTGATGGAGCGACCGCCGAGAGGGACGAGTTGATAGCGAAGTACGGCTACACCACAGGTAAGCGAACACATACCGATATCCCGACTGATGCGCCAGCAACGAAAACTCAGAAGATGTCGGCGAAGACTGGCGTCACTAAGTGCACCGTCGTGGATGGCACCCCCGCCAAGCCTAACAAGAAGATGCTGGCTGCTCCGACGAGTACATCTACGAGTACATCTACAGCTGCGCCCTCCTTCACCGCGCCGCCCTCGGGCCTTCACGAGGCCTTCGAGGCCATTGCCGATGGCTCCTTGCAGTTGGACGAGTGCGACTTTGAAGAGTCGCAGACGTTTTAGTCGCGAGCCTGGGTGCCCTCAAAAAAGAGACAAGTGCTTGATCCGACGTCTTTGAGCCTCTGCTGCAGGGCAATGGCATTCCGACGTGCCGAGTAAAACATGTTATAGATGTTGCTGCTGGTCATGCTTCCATTCCTGCTGCTGCTGTCCCCTCCTCTTCCCCCGCCCCCCCTCCTCCTCCTCTTCCTCCTCCTCCTCCTCGTTCAGTTCAGCGGGACAGCAAACGGGTAGTGAGTGAAAATTGCCTGGGGCCCCAGGCTTCTTCGGGGGCGTCCAGAAGCACATTTTCAAGGCTCGATGTTCCTGGGAACCGTCTCCGTAAACGACGCTGAAACCTTCGGCCGCTCCTCCCCTGGGGCTCTCCCCCTCCTCGCGGGCCCTCTGGAGCTCACCAGTGGATTCGGGGCAATCCTCCTCCTCTATCTCCCCATCACCATCCTCCTCCGTAGCCATTTTGGCTCACGTTCTAGAGGTCGGCCAGCTTCTGGGATACGTTTCCTCACCCAGACATGTCCTCGCCACCTGAGCTCACGCTTGAGAGCCTCGTGCCTCCTGAGGCTCTGGCGGCGCTGGATGGCGCAGTGGCGAATCAGACCGCTGCAGGTGTCGAGGACGGGATTGGCAGGGCGCTGCAGGCCTCGCTGGCGGACAGCAAGACCAGGGGCCCGCCGTCAACGGCTGAGGAGGAGGACCTCAAGCGCGTCATCCAGACAGGCTCGCTCGACGCCCACTCCAAACTCGGGAAGGCGTTCATGTGCCAGAAGAGCTGCGACCAGGAGCTGAAGGAGAACTGGGAGAAGACCAAGAAGTCAAAGGACATGCGCGACGAGTTCAAAGTGAATTGGGCCAAGAGGGAGCCCGACAAGAGGGTCGCGAAGCGCCAGGGGACGCAGACAACGAGCTTCGTGAATTTCAAGAAGGGCAAGTTCAAGCCGTTCAGCGTGATTGTCAGGGACGAAGGCTCCGATCCATGCGCGGTCAAGGCTGCCTCGAACATCTGTCGTACGTGCATCGCCCTCTGGAGGAAGAACATTACTTGCAGTGGAGTTCCTTTTGTCCAGTGGAATCCCTTCAGCAAGCGATGCGAGTTCTTGCACTTGGAGACTGGCTTTTCCGACGTCGTCCAGGACTGCTGGAAGATAATGGATGATGTCGACCTCGATTTGGACAACTCCACGGTTGGCAATATCAGCCTGTGCCCAAGTGGCGGCGGCAGCCGCGGTGATGATGCCCCGACCAGTGCAACCCCGAAGGCGAAGACGAAGGCGAAGGCGTCCGCGAAGCCCAGCTCGCAGAAGCGAAAGGCCTCAGCTATTGACCCAGGCCCCGAGGAGCACTGCGACGACGACGAGGACAAGAAGGCGGCCAAGAAGGAGCTCGACAAGAAGTTGTAGCAGTGCGTGAAGGCGAAGATCGACATGGACTCGGCCTGCTCTTCGTGTGCCGACGTCTTGAGCCTCATCGGCAAGGACCCTAAATGGAAGTGGGTCGACAACGAGGAGGTACTGAAGCCTTTGAAAAAGGCGCGTGCCAGGGTCGAGGCGATGAAGGAGATTTCGTTCTGGGCTACCCTGGCGATGCACGGCAAGGATTTCCCGGAGCAGGTTCGCAAGGGCCTCGACGAGACGGTGGTGCGGAGGGAAATCAAGAAGTTGGATGAGTTCGAGAAGAAGGTTGCGTCCCTGTTGAAGCGCGCTGACGAGCTGAAGAACATGCACCGCCAGCGCATCGACAACGACGACGACGGGAGCGCCTCGCAGTGAACCGTGCGTTCTAGCGAGCTCTCCTCCTCCTCCTCCTACTAGTAGGAGTAGGGGGAGGAGGAGGAGGAGTAGGAGTAGGGGGGGAGGAGGAGGAGGAGGAGGAGGAGGAGGAGGAACGTGAGCAGGAAGTCTCCTGCCACGCACCTTCCTCCGCCTCCTACTCCCGCCCCCGTGGGCGTCGATCGGGGTCGGCGCAAGTGTTGCCAGCGGCCTGCGCCGTTCTGTCGGAATGCGTTCTCGTGAGCAGGCGCTGCAAAGGATTTCCAGGGCATTTGATCGTGAAACGGTTTCGCCCGTGCCCTCAGCCACCCGCTGCGCCTCGAACCCACTGGAGCTCAGACCAGACGTGCCCTAGTTCAACGATTTCTTGGCCTGGGCGCTGGTCCAGAGCCAATTTCACGAGAGTTCTAATTAGTACATTTTAGAACATTTTAGTACTAGTACATTTTAGTACATTTTTAGTACTTGCGTTTACATTGATATTTACACCAGAAATCAAGGTTTAGAACAACAAGTACTAATTAGTACATTTCGAATGTACTAGAACAGTTTAGTACATTTTAGTACTTCGTGGAACTACAGATCTCGAGCGTGAAAACTGACGTCGGTCCGCATATTTGCTGTGATGTGGCATGGCTTTGCAAGACTACCCCTCCCGAGGTTCGCGTCGTGGCCCCTCGCCCGAGGGGGGGCCGCGTGGGCGTGCTTGAGCCCCTTTGCCCCCGCCATCGCCACCCCTCCACCCCTCTGGCCACTCCAGGGGGCCTGACAAACGTTGGCTGCATATCTTCTGCATGCCGAACCTGGGGATCCCGTGGCCATTTTAGCTCAAGCCAGCGTTGACACAAGCCAGCCCAGTGCATGGCCAGCTCTGCTTCGAAATATCCTTGGGAGGACGATGCGCCGTGGTTGGCTCGCAGGTATGCTGACGAGGACGGCGCTGGGTCAGGCTCAGACGTCGCCTTCGATTACGATGACGTTCAACCTGACATAGCTCAGGAGTGTTTCTTTGATTACATTGTCGCCCTGCAACATAGCGGCGCGATCTCGGCGAAAACAGCCTGCATCATCGCATTCTGGGCCTCGAAGTCGGGCGCTCTTGGCGAGATACGTTCGTTGGCTTTCGGGCCGAACAAAAGCAGCGGTGCGTATTCCAAGCATTTCGGCTGCGTGGTCAATAAAGATATATGTAATGATTCGATGTACACATTTACAGCGTCTGGTCAATTACGTGCAGATGCTTCTTCCGTCGAGTTGCGACTTCCTGCAGTTCTGCCTCATGAAGCTTTCGTCGACGAGGTTCGGGGCGACCCCAGCTTGTTACGCCGCGCCGCGGCCGATCGTGAACAGGGCAAGCTCCCTCGTTCTTTTTACGATCACCCTGTCGTGCAGGGCGCCCCTGCTGGAGTTGTTGTATTGCCTGCTGCGCTCTTCGTGGACGGAGTGCCCTTTGCTCGCCACGACGGTCTCGTGGGCGCGTGGACCTATCTAGTCCACAGCGGCAAACGAATTTTGGTGGCTGTGTTGAGAAAGTCTGAAATGTGCGCGCGTGGCTGCCTGGGCTGGTGCACGGTGCTTCCCTTGATGACGCTTCTCAGCTGGTCTTTCCAGGCTTGCGCTGATAACAGATACCCCGATCGACGGCACGACGGCAGTAATTGGGGCGACGATGCAGATCTGGTCTGGCTGGGACCCCGCTCGGTTTCATCGTGGCGCTTATCTTGATCAAGTGTGACATTGCAGAGTATGCAACGACCATGGGGTTACCAGGCTGCAGCTCATCTGAACACCCGCGCCCCCTTTGCACGCTGCCAACTGCATCGCTTCCAGGCATTCGCCACTTCAGTGCTTTAGGCAATGATGCCGCCAAGACTTGGCAACAATGTTCTGACGCCTGCAGTCGCTGCGAGATTGCGGTTGGCGTGACGGACGAGACATTCCCTCTGCTTAGAGCCGCGTTGCGCCCAGACAGGCGGAAAAACAAGTCTAGAGGTTGGGCGTTGGTCGCTGACGCGGCCGTGGGTGGAGTGAATTTGCAAATCGGTGACAGGCTCGAACCCACTCCAAGCATGATGTTTGTGTCTTCGTTTTTCTCAAGGCCAAGGCCATTCGTTGCAACGTTTTGGAGGCGTTCGCAAGAAACCGCAGCCCGACATAGGAACCCGCTGTTTTCTGTCTGTCTGGGCGTGGTGCCTGCCCATGTGCTGGGTGTGGATACCCTGCGCACTGTAGCGCTCGGTGTCTGCAAATACTTCTGTTCTCGTGCTGCTCGCGCCCTCATTAGTGCCAATGCGTTCCAAGTGTTCAACGCACCAGAATCAGTGATGCTCGATGCGTCGGTCAAGAGCTTGCGTGCGGAATTGTTCAGGTGGTACGCAAAAGAAGTTGCTGCTGGCCGCAAGGACCATACACGGGTCCAAAATCTAACGACTTCTATGATTGGCTCGTCGTACCACCGCCAGATAGGTTTGCATGGAGCCGAAACCGTTGCGTTCACAAAGTTTGTTGTCGACCTTGTGCAGACAAAACAGGGTTTCTTAGATCGCACGTTGTTCCTTGATTTGAACGTTGCAGGTGTTTCTCTCAGAGAGGTGCTGCGCCTCATCAAGAAGATGGGTGATTGCCCCGTGGTGGATGCTGGCGACGCCGAGGCCGGCGGCGACGACGGGTGGCGATGCGGGGGAGGGGGAGGAGGAGGGGGAGGTGGAGGAAGAGGAGGAGGAGGAAGAGGAAGAGGAGGAGGAGGAGGAGGCGGAAGATGAGGAGGAGGAGGAGGAGGGGGAGGAGGAGGAGGAGGAGGAGGAGGAGGATCACCAGGCGTTCATGGATCATGCCAAGGCTCACGCGCGGTGCCTGCCCCGCATTGGCATCGACCCCAAGTTCAAACACCATATGTTTCTGGAGCTGGGTGCTCGTTTGCTGTGGCACGGCGGGCCTGGGCGCTACGCGTGTTGGGAGGACGAATCCTTGAATGGAGAGCTCGTGCCAGTGGCCCAGCGGGCTCGCCGCTTGGTCCGGGCCCGACGCGCGCTCCAAACGTGGTCGAAGTGCGTATCTTCACGCAAACGCAAACGAATGCTAGAGCAATAAAAAGGAAATAATGCATGCTCATCTTCATCACCACCACCATCATCATCATCATCATCATCATCACGATCATCACGATCATCATCATCACGATCTCCCGTGCGCGGACGGGGGTCCTCGTGGTCCAGGTGTTCGTGCTGACCCCCATGATGGGATTTCCGAGCAGGCCCGCTGTCGAGACGCCCCAAACGGCCTCCAAAAAGCTCCCAAGAGGCCCGAAGAGGCTCCCCCAAGGCACCCAAGACGCTCCTAGAAGCCCCTGGGGCCGCCAAGAGGCCCCCAAGACGCCCCAAAAAGGCCTCCAAGAGGCTCCCAAAAGACATCCCAAGAGACTCCGCGATGCATCCAAGAGGCCTCTGGCCCTTCTGCTCGTCCTCCCCTCCTCGTCCGCCTCCCCCCTTTCCTTCCCCCTCCTCCCCTCCCCCACCTCCTCCTCCGATTCCTCCTCCATCCTCCCCTCTTGGGATATGGCGGCATCCCCTGTCCTTCGTTTCTCTGTATGCTCCCACACTTCCCTGATCGAATCAAAGCAACTCCTCTGGGCATCATTGCTGAAAAGATGACCAACAAATCCCGACAGTCGGTACTCTTTGCTAAAGTGGCTGTTTTAGGATGGGCTGGCGGGGATTCGCGAAGCGTGAACAATTCGAGTGCATCTACCAACGCACTACAACACATTACAACTACCACTACACTACAAGTACGAGCACCACCACTACAAACGTCACAACTGTCACTACCACTACCACAAGCATTGCCACCAACACACTACAACCATCACAACTGTCACTACCACTACCACAAGCATTGCCACCAACACACTACAACCATCACAACTGTCACTATCACTACCACTGCACTACAAGAACGAGCACCACCACTACAACCATCACAACTGTCACTACCACTACCACAAGCATTGCCACCAACACACTACAACCATCAGGAAGGCCGCGCGGTCTGCAACCGCCACGGTTCCAGCCTTTTCTGCGCCCGCCCTCTTCCTCCCTTCTTCTTTTCCTCTTCCGATTCGGTCTTGCCAGCCGTTTTCCCACGGTCCGCGGGGCCTCGCCCAGGGGGGCTTGGAGGGCCATTCCGCGTGGAAAAACCAAAGAAAAGAACCGTGCCGTTTTCCTTCCGCGCCCCAAAACGGCACGGTTATTTTCCCGCGACTTGTGCCCGCCAAAGCTCGGGCTGCGGGTCGTTCAATTGTTTGCCCACTCTGATGGTGCTCCTCCTCTCTCTCCTCCTGGTGTTGCGTCTGCGTGGTGCTGTGGTGTGTCTGTGTCGCTCGCTCGCCAAGCTTGCGAGCCCGCGGATGACTACGGTAGGCTCTGTTGCGCATTTGTTCCGCCTTGCGCAAGTGTCCCGCAGTAGAACTACGCACTACGTGATACTCTTGCTGGCGTTACCTAGCGCCGCGATTCGCGCGACCCCACGTTGCGCAATGGGCTCGAACCATTTTGGTTCAGGCTGCAGCAACCCAGAAACTCGAACAAGTTCGGTATACCCCCAAAAAGATCTCAACAAGTTCGGCGCGTGTGTTTCACATCTACGATTTCGCATCCGCCCACTGCCAATTGCCCCGCTCGCGCGCGGCAATTTCATGCGCGGCAATTTCATGCGCGGTCGTTGCCCACGCGATATCGCGTGGGCAACGACCTCAGATTGCGATATCCGTCCATATATGGACGGATGTCGCAACGGAACATATATGTTCCGTTGACTGTCGCCCGTTCGCGAAGTGCTGTTTTGGGCGTATATTTCAAATTTAAGCCCAACACAAGATAAGCCCAAAACGTGGGGCTCAAAAATCTAAGCCCAAAGACCCTCAGGGGAGGGCCCTAGAGAAGCGTCCAGGAGGGACTCCGTGAGACCCTCGTCCAACTCCGTCTGACGGAGTTGGAAC